AGGAAATTTCTTTCATATACCCGTTCAGCGACGGACCCGAGAGCATTGTAATGCATAACGCGCTTCGTTATACCATCGGCCTCACCAAAGTTGTAACTTGAGAAGGTTATCGAGGGAGGAAGAGGAAAAAAAGGGTTCAGTAAAGTGCTACGGAAAAGCAAGTACGCCTATACCTGCTCGTCTTTTCGTTAGCCCATACCCGTCCGTTTCCATCCGAGCGTGCACGATTTTTTTTTTCTTTTCGCCGGTCAAAAATAAACCTCCATACTGTATATACGTAACCATTTAAATCAGAACATAACAGTAAAGGGAGAGGAGGGCACGGGTGGATGGCTGCGGGCATATGTAAGGGGGTGGACCATTATCGTTAAAACACATGAGTAAGGGAAAGGTATATGGTTATCGATCGCGAGCCCCCGACGCCGTGCCTTATTTGCTCTTCCCTCTCTGATGGCTTCTCCGTACGTTTCTCAATCGTAGTCTGTATCTCTTACTTTTGCCCAACTCCGTTGTGACCCTTATCTCCGCTCTCCTTTCTCCGCCTATGGCTATGTATATATACGTTATAAATACAGCGGTACCAAGAGAGACGCTCCTTCCAGCCTCGCTCTGTGTGATAAATGGAGGAGACGTAACGCGTGTGACCTGTACTCGATTGCGGAGGCCCCCCAAGGAAGGACTACGGCCGAAAGTAAAAGTCGAGTGACTGCGATGAAAAAATACAGGGGGGCGCGTTGCAACCTCTCCCTTCACCCCGTTACTTACACTGCAGCTTGTAACCACGTTTTTCGTTTTTCCACTTGGCTCGTATGGTAAAGAATAAAGGGCGCCACAGCTGAGTGCCACTTGCCGTGAAAATTCCTTCCCCCCCCCCACCTTTCCCTTTTCCGTCCTTTTAGCTTCTCTTCCATCCTCCGAAATCCTCGACTTCTCGCTCCCTCTTTTTCTTTTCATCCCCACGTAGTTTTCACGCTCTGCTGCACGAGGCTTTTTTCTCTTTTCTTCATCTCTCGCGAGAACTTAAATAATATACTATGCGCTCTCATTAATTTGCCTTTTCACAGCAGCTGATGATCTTTTTTTCTTTCATTCGCGGCCATACGGGAGAGCCAGCCCCTTGCGGTCTAGTTAATTCTTTGAAGAATTAAAGTCCCATGGCTGCGGTTGTTCCGCCACAATCGGTGCAATGGGCACTTTGATTCGCCTCCCCGACCAGCGTGTTACACTTTGTACAAAAACCCTTTGGGAGAACATTTGCGAATCTGTACGAATGAGGTACAGAAGTTATTATGGATGGTAACGGAGCTAAACGCGCGTGTCATCCCCGCGCGAGCGTAAACATTATTCTTACCTCGTGCCCCGCCCCCCTCTCATTTTCTGCAGTAGCGAATAATTATGCACGGAGCAGGGTTGATTTTATTTAACGTCACACCGGAATAACATCAGCATAGGAGCGCGGTGATCTCTCAAGCTCTGTCGTTTACCCTGACGATACGTGTATACATGTGCCCACATGTTTATTATTATTATTATTATTATGTACGCGTGCAAGCTCTCTACGTACACCATCACTAATTGTGCTGCTCAGACGCACGGAGGGACATGTATTTTTTTATTTCCTGCGGGGTTGTATACTTACGGGTTATATGTAATATAAGGGAGCTCCGACTGATGCTCGACTCTCGTGCCCAAGACAAAGGAACGGTGAGCTAGACAGGTATACAGCTGCGGTATAGTCACAGACTCTGACGCTGCTTGTTCTTTTTATTTTTAATCTCGGTCTGATCCTCCCGTAGACGACGCTCGTTACTATGTACAGGTACGCGATTACTGGTGTAGCCTCTCCTTCAGCGTGAAACTCCTTTGTGTGTACAGGTTCGAGAGTAATACATTCAACCTCATTTTCAGTCGTTATACGTACATATCTCTTGCAATATGTAAATTTACACAAAAATTATACATCATCCTCTCAGTCTTTCGAGGATCAAAAGCGTGTCACTTTCATTAGGTATATTATATATCTACGTTGGGTTATTTTAGGTATTATACGTACAAAACGGTGCTTTGACTGCAACCGACGGGCGACTGGGTTGCATACATTTAGCTCGTTCCGTTGGCTTGGATCGATTCGCTAATCCTCCCAAACTGCGCTCATCCGGCAAACAGTTATACCCCCCTCCTATACTCATTATTATTATCGTTATAACGTGCATTCTCATCAACGAATAACATACTCGCAATGTACGAACGTCATATTTCCGATCTCCCCTTCGTAAATTATCCTAAATCCATGACGATTTCTTTTTTTATGTTTTTGCTCCAACAAACATTCGGCGGATAGTGCTATACTGTCAAACAAGTGTGTCCGGCTCTTTTGGGTATGAATTTATACAAGTATGATTTTTGTCTCGGCGAGGCGACGCAAACCTTCATTAAAATCGTGGATATGTATTTGTAGGCGTATACCCAATCTGTTAAATTTCCAGTCCCAACGCGCGCTCGTCCGAAACGTTATTTGTAATTTTCAAACACGCAATCATCAACAAGATATTTATGATGGAGAAGAATAAACATTTTTCCAATGAAACAAGGAGGGCTCCCACCGCGTAAAGTCTTTGATTTATGGGGGTGTGGTAGCAGCAGTGCCCCACGTACTTTTTCGAAAATTCAGAGGGGCTCGCCAATACGAGTTTTTCGGCGATTCAACGTATTTATAGGTGGATGGATGCAGGGCGCACTGCAGTTTTAGGGGGGAGGGGCTGCCCATTCCGCGTGAACACACCTGGTGATGGGAGGATGGATGCTAAGTAGGTGCTCCGCGGTGATGGTTAATTTGCGGAAAAGCAGCCGCTGCAGTTCCTCCCAAACTGCCCGAGAAAATGGTATATACATATACTTATATATAAAAGCCCAACTCGCTTCTCATCCCCCTCTGGCGAGCTGTCTATGGTCAGCCCTACTTTCTGGCTAATATTTGTACGACGCTAACTGTCGGTGCAGTACACTGCTCAGCGTATATTTTTTTTAAGCTCCGAGTTACTCGTACGCGGTCGCGTAAGCAATACCAAATTGATGAATTTCAACTTTACTTGCATAATACGCTATCGCGAATTCCATGTATTGGAAGCAAAATGTTTACTCATTTTCTTGATCAATTTGCAGCGACTTGCGTACATGTCGAGTTTTACAGGTTTTGTTGGGAACGAGCAAGCTTACACGGACACTTTTTCACGATTCCGGCAGGAAAAAATTTTACAGATAAAAAACTCCGCATATCTAACACTCCGTTAAAAACGACGATTATCATAGCCAATGAGTCCAAATTTAATATATACTGCGTACTCGAGGAAACTAAACTTTAGCTTTTAAAATTGTTGTCAAACCGACTAACACACATTATTATTATTATTATTTTTTTCTCAAAAACCCCCCTTTGATGTACAGTTAACGTAAAGAAAATTACATTTATCAATGAAATTCCGAAGAGCTTTGGAAGCGTCGAAGATGATCGGGACGTGCCGACAATACAGTACTTATATCGTCGTCAACAAAGGTGACAATGGCAGTACGCGACGTAGATAGGCACGCTTTACTCGCTCGCTTCTGCTGCTCATTTTGCATGCTCGAGTCGTATTTTTCCTCCCGAGCCGTATATATACTTACCCGCAAATCTTATTTTAATGGTAATTTTTACTTTTACGCAGCAGAGTGAAAATCATTGTTTGCATTGTATAGACTGTTTTTCAAAGTTTTACTCGAGATAATATAAAACTTGCTTGTATCTTTTGCAAAAAAACGTACGCAGATGAAGAAGTCGAGCTTTACATGTTATATGTGTAAAAATATATATTCAAATAAATTCCCAATACCCATGAAATCACGGAAAGTAAAGTTATTCAGCTAAGCCAAACTTTGATATAACTCGAAATGTATATTTACAGCTTTGTAAAGAGCAGCGCTAAAAACGCGAGCGCGATGTATCACAAAAAAAAAAAAAAAAAAAAAAAAAAAAAAAAAAAAAAAAAAAAAAAAAAAGTTATACAGCACGCTCTTTGCGCACGCAATGTGGGTTACTTATTGCGCAAAAAATTAATATGTCACTTTGTCTCTCCTGTCCAAAGAGCTTCTGCAGCGGCATCAAAGGCTGCACAGGCCGGAGAAAACGCGCCAACTGCTTGTAAAAGTCGGCGGGCAAAAGAGACACGAGGACTTTGGTACGAAAAATAATTAAAAATTGAAACTCGCGTGCGCTCGTTTATCTCGTCCTTTTCTACTATCGCAAAGTATGAGTAGATTGCAACTTGCCATTGGAAAGCTTTCGATCTCCCTATGAAATAATAATAAAAAAAAAGGAAAAATTTTAATTAATTTTTTGCAAAAGACCAAAGTAATGTGACGTACAATTCTATTGACGTAAAAAGAAAACGAGCAGGCATCAAGGTATCAGCAACGCGCACATCTGGCTTCCGTCTCCCGGAGTAAGTATGGGCAACGAGTTTTTTTTTTTTTCGTCATTTGTCCCAACTTGATCTTTGGTATGCGCACCTCATACACTTGCAGCTTGCGCGAAAAAATAGCGGTACTTATATAGAGAAGAAAAATAGAAAGATCCAACGATCTGTCTCTCATTCCGTGCACGTGCTCTCGTGCGAATAACCAATACATACGTATACTGTTTATACTTACGTAGAGATGTAGAACGTACAAATGCATACGTGATGGATATACAATACGAGGCTGCGAGCCGTGAACTCACGAACGCATAAAATTTCGAGGATTATTATATCATTATTATTAGATGGGTGGTGGTGGTGGTGGTGATACGAGGTATATATGTATATAGGTACAAGACATGTACGCATGATAAGATACGAAGACGTAAAGAGCAAGAGAAGGGGGTGGTAGGTGAGGGGGAGAGTCCATGTGCTCGCGCGCGCGGCGCTCGATCAAGCTCCCTCTCTCTCTTTCCCCGCCGCACTTACGCCCTCACCTCGCTCGCCGAGAGTCAGTCTACGCGACGCGTTCGCCGCGACAGGACATACCGTACGCTCATTAGCCGTACTCGCTCGTTCACTTGTCCCAGCTCGTCATTTTTCGTCATATTTTGCCGCAAGTAAAGACTCCAGCTGGTACTTGCTTGGAAAAATCGCAGGGACAGCCATGACGACCGTCGACATCGCCCATCAGCGTCTCGGCCCGTCGTGCCCCTGAGATGAAGGGCATCTCGCCCCGACGTCCGTTCTTTGGCTGTCGCTTATTTAGTGGTGATCTCTCGCTGTGATCAGCAACGCGGAATCACGCAAACGTATCGCGCCCGAGTGTCAAAGTGCCACCTCTCTGTCGATCGGTTGTACATCCACCTGTACGAAGCAGGCAAAAAGGAAGAAGAGGATCCGAGAAACCAGTGAGAGAGTCAGGATGCACCACACGACTCCGTGGTACCTGCCGTGGGGCCTGAAGCTGGTGCCGCTCTCGTTGCCCCCGGCTCACCCGGCCTCCGGCATCCCGAACCCCGCGCTCCACCTGCTCGCACCCCTACCCGGGATCTATGCGCCCGAGCCTCGCAAGGTACCCATTTTCCTCATATTTACAACAATCATCCTTACGCCTTGCCAGCTCAAAGCTATACCTATACGTTTCCGATGAGTTGATATTCTGGAGATACGATTGATTTAACAACGATCGCTACGTGTATCACGTATGGAAAGCCGCACGCAAGCCGCGATGGCGTAAAATTTTTCTTTTATCCGCGTTTGCCTTTGATTTCATCGAGCTGGGTATGTGCTGTTTGCTGCTACACTTGGGTTAAGATGTATGTAGGTGTTCCCCGTGCAAATAAAATTACGTAATTGCGATCCAATATCGGAGAGCGACGCGCCGTGACACGAGATGTACGGGCGCTATTTATTTTAAGACCCACGGAATTCAGTCTGTTTGACCTGACTGTCTATCTCTCTCTCTCTCTCTCTTCTCTGTCAAATGTCAATACATCGATACCTACTTGGCGCGAGGTGTACATACATTGATAATTTATTGGAAAAGTAACAATGATGAGTTGTGGTTGTAATGGTCAAAAGTCGCTTGCAATTTGAAAAATCGGCAGCGCAAAATGTCAATTACCTACGTTATGCCTTTGCGCTGTACAGCGTGAAAGAGAAGCAAAGCGATGAGACATTTACCACGTATTCACGCTCGACGCGTCTCAAGTCGAGCGCGCGAGCTTGCATGGGGTGGGTATTGGCATCACACGCGACTCGAAGGGCTTAGCCGACCATCAGCCCCCGGCCACTAACGAGCTAAACTTCAATAATAGCGGTCAGTCGAGTCGGGTGTGTAGCGCGACTCGACGAGTTATCGATAACACACGAGACGCTCTTTGTGCGCGTGTAGGTACCGGCATTTGCGGGGAGGAAAAGCTCGTTCGTCGCTTTCGGACAATCGCTTTCGGCGGTCTCCCTCGCCTCCCTCCACGGCTATGTACACGAGTTTTGCAACACCAAATTGTGTGAATCTCGCGTGCGTGGCCTTTTTTTTTTTTTTTTTTTTTCTTTCGAGCACAGCTGCTGGCCCCCCGGCGTTATTCCCATTCGCAATGGCCAGTTGATGATGATAAATATGGAGTAGGTGATCCGGCCTGGCCCCTCCGTGGAGTAGGTGTTTCGTATGTATAACAACGCGATCGATACAATCTTGTGAAATGCGTCGAGAGATCGGGAGCGGCTGTTTTTTTCCCCTTTTTTTTTTCTTTCCAGCCCACGCTGAACGGCTCTTTTCTCTGTCTGTTATAATTCTTTTCTTCTTTTTTATCTTGGCAATTGTGCCCTCCGGACTATGATGTACGGCGTAAGAGGATTAGAAATGCCTTGAGGCTGTGCATAGAGCTTTTTTTACCGTTTAAAAAAAATCATTTCATTCAGCGAAATCCGGGACTTTACGGGGATAATATATATTTCAACGTAATGTGTTTCACAAAATTAGATATTATTCTTAAATTATAAGCATACATCGTCGCATATTACGATTTCCTCTCAACAGTTATTATTGGCGGCTGTTTCGATGGTTATTATTTTTTTTTTCACTCATGATACCCTTTTTTTCCTTCTTTACCAACTTTTTCTTACATCACTCGTATAATAATTCAATGGTTTTTACAGACTCCTCTGCGGTGTAGGTGTTGACCCTAATCCCGTCGTAATATCCTTTTTTTATCATATTTTTTTTTTACAGGGCGCCCCTTGTGTGGCGCCAAAAGAAAATGAGAACCTTTTACAACAAAAAGTAAATCCACACCAGGTGCTTGGAAACAATTTCTGTCTCACGATCCGAGTAAGGTTTTTTTTTTTTTTTTTTTTTTTTAATTTCTTGATTATTTGCACTCACTGTTCAAAATCTGTGTATACCCAAGTAGATATATCCGATCGATAGTGCCTCGGCCGTTATGTCGCAGAGCCCAAAGTTGCGCCGGCTTGATAGATTATGCGTACCTTTCTTTATTCGCGATCGTATAATATAAGTACAGCCGTGTCCCGTGCAGCTGGTGGAAAGTACAGAGTCACTTTGTAACCTGCATTATACTTTCGTAGGTATACCTACAAGGAAAATGAGAAGAAAAAAAAAATTTCGAGCTAAACGCGTTATCGGGAAACTTTAAGGAATCACCTGTGCCCGGCGAAAGAGTGGGTATAGAAATAAAAGAGAGGGGGGGGGGGCACACAGAGGAACGGTGGGAAAAAGGGGACAAATCGGCATAGAAAAAAAAAAAAAAAAAAAAAAAAAAAAAAATGCCAGAGTAAAAAGTTTGCGATGACTTTTTGATGCTCGAAAGTCGAAAGCAATTTACGGTCCGCCGGTCGAGTTAAATTCACTCTCGGCGGACCGGCGTATATGGCCAATCCCCTCAAAACTATCGTCCAGATACATGGTCTGGAAAAATAATCGAAATGAAGGTTTTGTACGTATATGATTTGAAAAATTTTTTTTCAATACCACTATTTGATTATAAAGAAAATATTTGAAGAAAGACTTGTTGTGTTGAATAAAAAAATATCCAAAGGAAAAAAATTGCTCGTAACTTTTGATCTCAACATTATTGTTACTGTATACCTTATAAACTAAAATTGACTAAAAGTGTAATTATTCACTTTTTTCACTAAAATTTGAACCCAAACAATACCCTTTTCATCAATTAAAGCTTTACTCGATTTCCGATTTTCAACTTATCCAAATACTTTCTACAAGTTTTTTTTTTACCCCTATGACCACGATGTTTCAGAACATACATCACTCGGTAGCACCTACCTACAAACAAAAAATGAGATAAATAAAAAAAGTTAATATTAATTTCGTTCATTGTTTTTTTTTCGTAGAACCGCTCGTATACGCGTTAACGTATACTTGTTGCGTGCTAGAGGAATAGTTGCGGTGAGCAGCTGCAGCGAACGAGAGAGAGAGAGAGCAAATTCTCCATCTCTCGTTTTCTCTTTTCCTCGGCTCTTGGAGCTATAGGTGTAGCAGCCAGTATGTAGGTATACCGCAGAGCGCTTAAAATTCAGTGCACCACCAGCGCCGGAAAGTCCTCTAATTGACCGTGATGGCTCGAGCGGAGAAAAATAAAGAATTTTTTTCCATGAACCAGCCAAACTCGGGGGTCAGAGGAGACACAGTTTTCACGCGAACATGCTCCCTTTGTCACTATATATAGCGTAGAGGTAAATTGCTCGACGCACCCACATCGGAAGTTACTCGCAGAAATTATGTCCAATACGAGGAGTATCGTGCTCACCCCTATATATACACACCCGCGTAACTTTACACGAAGTCTAAAAAAAAAAATCACGGGTATTCGATGGTAGTATAGTGAGGGTGACTAACAATGGATGTACCTATACCTGATGTACGTTGTTGCTGCTACTTAGATAAAACCAAGTTTCCGAGAGATCGCGGTGGTATGAAAGACTTGCGAGGTGAGCACGTCGCGTAGTGGGTGTAAATAAGTGTTGGGCCAAGCGCGTATAGGTACCTGCAGCTCTTTGGCTTCGATTCACTTTGACTGCAAATTTTTCCATCCGGGGGCAGCTGTTGCGGGAAAGCACCTCCCGTCACCTGTACCGCGCGTCGCACCCAAAGTGCACTCCGAACGAATTTCCTCGATCTCCCCCTTCCGGCCCTAAAGGTATACACGGTAGAAAAGCTGCGCTTCGATTCCCGAAATTTCAAAGCCGCGTTGTCGCCCGGTGATACGCGTATGCATCGGTCCCAGCGAGCAAAGTGCTGGAGGAGGAGCGCAGCTTTTCATGCATACAACTCCTTGCCTCCCCCCCCCCCGCTTGTCCTCCCTGCACGTGCGACATCGAACAACAATACTCTCTCTCGTCCGGCTACCCGTTAAATTGGGTACACCCCCGGAGCATGAAATTTTAAATTCCACTCAATCCCTGCATCATCGTGGCGTGGAGCGGCCAACCTGATTACCTTCCGAGTCGCGCAAAATGCATGCCGGATCGGCTCCCCCGTAGGAATCACGCCACCCCATCGCACGTATATATAATGCAAGCGAGGTCCTCTTTTGCGCGGGTAATGTCTCTCGCGCCAAAGTTCGCGGCGACCCCGTTACAATGTACCTGCATATTGCACGCCGGACACCGACTTTTAATCGAGTTTAATCGCGTTGCCCCCCTTTCGCCCCCCTCGTACTGAATCTTTCAGCTGCGGCCGTCGCCCAATCTTTTTTCAACAACTCGAGTGCAGAGGAGAACACGAGCATATCCTTCCCCTTCGGAGCTCACGATCGGGCCGAGCGCAATAGTCTACGATGTATATTATACACGTAATATACCATCCTTACGTCGTGTCCGTGCTCTGTAATAGCTACGAGCAACTACGTGTTTTTAGAGCTCCTGTCTCTTGCGGGGTACGACTTCTTGGAGTGAAACGAAATATCACCCCCAGCGGTAGTAAAACGTGATGGGAACAAAGGGGATCCCTATCTGCGATATTAGATAAATGCCCAGGAGAACATGCCTACATATTATAATACATGTATTACAGGGTATAGGAGACCGTACATCACAGCGCTCGCTGCAGTCGTATCGTACTCGCGGTTGCATCCATTTCTTTTGTCTGTCGGAGGAGGCTGAGGTGGGGGGTGAAAAAAAAAAAAAAACTCGCCAAAGATTTACGATGGATCTCGCCTTCGTTTAGTGGCAGCGCGTCAGATTACAGCGGATCCTGCTTGTTTCCGTAGCAGCCGTTATACGGGCGTGTGGCTTATTTTTGGCTGGCGGCCATGCATGCGATAGCCGTCGCATAAACACGCCCGCCTACCTTCGTACGGCCGCATAATTTCGTTTTTTTTTTTTTTTTCCTTTACTCCTGCACAGTCCTACATTCGATTGGCGATTAGCCCTTTGTTTCCTCGCTCGCACCCCCTCGGATAGCACGAAAAGCCAAGTCAGCCGGGATCGTTAAGGTACACCTCTAATGGTGCAATGGACTTGCGCTTTACTCTCTACTTACGTTCTTTCGAAACAAGTATATGACCTACAGGAATTTTCATTGCTGTTTGATGG